GGGGACGGGGCCCACGTGCTCTGTGCTGTTTTGTCTCCAGGCATCGTCCTGGAGACCCGCGCGTCCTCAGGGCTCAAGCAGAAACCAGCGCACCGGCTTCTCATCTGCTACTCACCGCAGCCCCTAGGGCATGATGAAATAAGGCACCTGCGCAGGTGCAGGGGAGACCTGCCAGCGCGCTGGGGGTTGGGGGTGCTGCTCTCGGGTGCCTGTGGCCACAGTGCCGGGTCAGGACCCTTTCTCACCCTCCTGCCCTCCTCTTGGCCTGCAGGACACAGACCAGCTGGGTGTGCTGCATCCCGTACTCCACCAGGAAGAGGGCGAAGGAGAGCGCCTAGCGCCCAGGAGAAGGTGCTCAGATCTTGGCGAAGAGGAGGGAGGCGGGGTGTGGATGGGCTGGGGGGGCAGGAGGTGGGACAGAGGGTGACTGGGCTGCCCGCTTGCCACCCAAGAGCCTTCTCCACCAGGCACCGAGGTTCCTGTTTTCTTCTCGTGGGACTGGCCCTGCCTGGGAGGAGTGAGCGCACAGACAATGCCTTTGGGTTAACGTTCACACCAGCCCTGAGCAACACCAGGTGCCGATGACCACGCCAGGTGTGAGCCATGCCTGAAACCCACTGCCCATTGCGAGAATGATGTGATCTTAAAAAACAATAAATTAGCAGGGGAAGATGTGTCTCTTCCACTCCACCAGCTTGAGGGTTTCTGGCCCCTTCCTGCTCTGGCCTCTTGCTCTGTGGCTTGCTGGGTGTGGGCAGAGGCCCCTCAAACACAGGGAGGCTCAGCCCTTTGTGGGCCTCGTGTGAGCTGCAGCTCCAGGAAGCACCCCACCAGTCGGGGGGCGGGAGGTGCACAGCGCAGAGCAGCTGGGTGTGCTGCATCCCGTACTCCACCAGGAGGGCAGGACAGAGCATCTGCTGTGTTGCTAGCGTCCCTGCAGGAGCCAGGAGCACAGTGGATGCGGCCTCGGCCATGACGGCGAGGGCAACAGAGACCACCGTGCTGGCACTAGGATCTGTCCCTGGAGGGAGCCACATGCTCCCCACTCACAGGAGAGGGAGTCCTTCTGGGGGTGTGGGGGCTACAGGACATGCTTGTAAGACAAGTTTCACCAGAGCCCACCCAGGCTCTCTCGCTCAGACACGCATGCATGCATAATCATATGTACACAGCACACACGTGTGCAGTCATGTACACAGTACAACACACATGCACACATGCATATTCATATGTACACAACACATGTACACACATGCATAGTCCTATGTACACAGCACACACACATGCACACACATGGATGTTCATATGTATGCAGCACACACATACACATGCATATTCATGTGTACACAGCACATGCACACACATGCATAGTCATAGGTACACAGCACACGCACATGCATAGTCATGTACACAGCGTACTTATGTGCACACACCTAGTCATGTACACAGCACACATGCACACACATGTACAGTCATATTTACACAGCACACACTTGCAGTCATGTACACATCACGCACATGTGCATACACATGCAGTTATGTGTACACATGTGCACACACATGCATATTCATATGCACACAGCACACACATGCACACAGTCATGTACATAGCACACTCACATGCACACACATGCATATTCATATGTACACAGCACACATCCACATATTCATATGTATACAGCACACGTGCACACACATGCATATTCATTTGTATGCAGCACACGTGCACCTAGTCATATGTACACAGCACACATGCAGTCATGTACACAGCAGATGTGCACACATGCATAGTCATGTACACATCACTTGCGCACACATGTATATTCGTATGTACGCAGCACACACGGCCACACACATGGTCATGTGCACACATCACACGTGCACACACATGCATATTCATATGTACACAGCACACACATATGCATGTGTAGTGCATGCAGCACACAGGTTCACATATGCATATTTGCATGTACACAGCACACGTGCACACATGTGCAGTCATGCATGCATCACACATACATGCATAGTCATATGTACTCAGCACACACACATGTGCACACACATGCTCACACCACACACATGCACAGGAGGACACAGGCAGGTGACCTGCACCATCTCTGATCCAGGTGTCTCTGAGCCGCCCAGAGGTCAGAGGCCACAGGTGCCAACGCTGTGTGCACTGTCTGGGCTGTTCCTGTGGGGACCCGTGGGGGCCGTCCCTGTGGTGCAGATGAGAGCACAGAGTCTCACAGAGTGTGAGCTCTGCCCATCACTCAGCCAGCAAGGGAGGAGCCCTTTTCAGGGAGCTGCACACCACACACAGCTTCCTGCCTGGGTAGTTTTCTCTGGCCAAAGTGGGGCACTTTCCAGGCTGAAGAAAAAGGGGAGCCCCCGAAGCCAGTACCCACCATTGAGTGAAAGACACCACAAATGATAGGTGCCTGGCAGCCCCAGAGTCACCATTTCCCAGACACTGGGTGGGTGCGGCCCTGAGGCCCTCCGCTCCCCCAACCACAAAGCAAAGCCCCACGTGGCACCTGTGCCTCCATCGTGGCCCCCTTGCAGCCTAGCCCTGTGCAGGTGGAGCAGCAGTCACACCGGCCACACCTTGGCTGTGTCCCTCCCTGGCCCCAAACACCGTGGCCATGCCACCGGCTGCCTCTTCCATGCAGTGTCACCCCCAACCCTGCCAAGGGTTCTGTGCGTTTTCCCTGCAGGTGAGGTGGGAAAGGGCTAGTGGCAGTTCCGCGTCCTGGTTCCCTGGGGGCTGCCCAAAAGATCATGTTCCTTCCAGGCTTTTCTCTGGGTTTAGGTGCCTCCACGTGGGAACAGGTATTTGTCCCATGCATACAGATGGCGCCGTTTACAGAGATGGACATAGATTGTCTTTCCAGAGTGGGGTCGCGTTGCCTGTAGCTTTTCACCTTCTTAGCTTCTTTCTATCCCGAGCGGCCTCCAAGCTGTCCAGGGATCCCTGCTGGCCCTGTGCCAGGCCCTGTCCCGAGTGCTGAACAGAGCAGCCGGTGCCGCCAGTCACCAGCCTCTTGGATCCGGTTCCCTCCAGGTGGCATGGATGGTTAAGTTCAGCACATCTCTACATGCAGTTTCAAAAGAGGCAACCACTTCTTCCAGTCACTGGAAACACAGCTGGAGGGCTGCAGCACGTGGCCTGGGGGTGCCTGTGAGTGGCTACAGTGGAGCCTGGAAGAGGCGCAGGGTCAGTGGGGAGCGAACGCCTTGGGGGAGGGCGCTGGGGCCTGGGCCAGGCTGGGCAGCTCTGCACCTTTCAGTCTTGAGGTCTGGAAACCCAGCCAGTATCTCCCTCGAGAAGGCGGCACTGTTGGCCGGGAGTCCTCCACAAGCAAAGGCCTGCCCGGCTCCAACCTGGCCCTCAGGCACCACCTTTCCTTTCCTCCCTGGCCAACAGCACCACCTCATGGGAGCCACGGTGCTCAAGCCACCGTTTCCATGCTGGGAACCACAGCCACGGACATCCAAGCCAGGAAGACGGGGTTGCCACACCCTCCCCTGCTGAGTGTTCTCTGGAGGGGGCCGGGCGGTAACTGCCTCCGTGGGACGATCACCCACAGATGCACAATGGGCCAGTCGCTGTCGGGGCAGGTGGTCGGGGTCACCTGAGGCTGGGCCTCCCCACATCAGGACCCCACGCCTGCGAGGATGCAGACACCCCACCCCAGAGGCCTCAGCCTAGACAGCCCTGTGGGAAAACCCAAGCTCAGGCAGCCCCTGGGCTGCGAATGGTGTGGAAATCTCCCCCATGTCCTTCCCACGTGACCCCACGAAACCAGAAAGGAGCAAACCCCCTCAGCTGTGGACATCCCGGGATCCTCTGAATGGCTGGCCTTCCCAAGCCTCCCCAGCGCCAAGGATGTGATGGGGCCCAAGGACCCTGGGGGGAGAGAGACCCTGCCAGGACACAGGGTCTTCTCTCTGGCTCTGGCTCTGGTTCCGAAGGGCTTGGGGGGTGCAGAGTTCACCAGAGACAGCAGGGCCCCCGTGCCCTGGAGAGGGAGGGTTTCTCTCCCAAGTCTCCATCTAGCGCCGCTCATGCTAAACCCCAGACCCAGTTGTGGGAGAAAGCTGCCCAGAGCCCTGCAGGAGAGGCAGGGGCAGCCCGGGTACACGAAGGGACAGAGGCTTCTGGGCTGCGCTGGGCTGGGCTGTCAACGAGAAGGGGTGATTGAGGATCCCTTGGAGGAGCCCTAACTGGGAACCCCTGAGATTCTCTGGGTCTGTCCTTCCATCGCCAGTGTTTAACTCTGGGACACGACGCATGGGTTGGCCCCTTCCTGGTCACATGGAGTGGGGTCCAGGGCCAGCCACAAGGCTCAGAGCTCCATGGTCCAACACTGTGTCCAGTTCTGAAAAGGGCAGCATGGAAGCAGACTCCTGGGGACAGAGGCAGGCCGCCTTGTGGACAGGCAGGACTCAGACCTCCTGGCCCTGAACACCTAGAGGGGGAGGCTAGCGGTGGGACCCCACTCCGCAGATGGGAGTGCCGAGGTCCCTGAGGCAGGGGCAGTGACCCCACTCCACAGATGGGAGCACCGAGGTCCCCAAGGTAGGAGGTGATGACCCCACTCCACAGATGGGAGCACCGAGGTCCCTGAGGCAGGGGCAGTGACCCCACTCCACAGATGGGAGCGCCGAGGTCCCTGAGGCAGGGGCAGTGACCACACTCCACTGATGGGAGCACCGAGGTCACCGAGGTAGGAGGTGATGACCACACTCCACGGATGGGAGCACTGAGGTCCTGAGTCAGGGCAATGACCCCACTCACTTCTCTTTCTTCTCAGCTGATCTGTTCCTGGGAGGCAGTGCCTTCCCCGGCTTTTGGGAGAGGGGCCTTGGCTGTTCTTTGATGCCCCTCTTACCTGCCCCAAGCCCCTGCTGGCCCCACAGGGGGGCCCACAATACAGGGTGTTTTCATTTTCCTCGGGGCAAACCCCAAAGCCCCTCTGCTGAAGCCACGGCGCCATCCCAGGACACCCGCCTCCTTCACTGTTTCAGGTGCCCCCAAAGTCCTTCTGCTCCCTTCCCACCTGCATCCGAGGTGACCTCTGCCCCATCAAAGTTGATCCCTGATCCCAAAGTGGCCCCTGTCCCATCTGTGGTGATCATTGCCCCCTCTATGTTGAACCCTGACTTATGTAAGCTGACCTCTGACCCCTTGCGAGGGAGGAGCTTCTTCCCCAGCCAGCTGTGAGCCCTGTGAGCCAGTGGGAATAGCCTGCCCCTCCTGGCGCCTCTGAGGACTGCCTGGCTGGGGGTCCCTAAGGTGTCCCGTGTTCACTTCCAGAGGTGGCCACAGGAACACAGATTCCAGGAAGCGGAGCGGGGACCTGACATTCCCAGGAGGCCCTCAGTGCCAAGAACGGAGCCCCTGCTCCATGGAGACCTGTCTTCCCAGGTCATCCCTGTGACTGGCTGAGGGGCACAGCCTCCCCAGCTCGGGGTGTAAGTTCTGTTAGGTCTGGGTGTGAGTCTGTTTGGCATGAACCTGTCATAGTTTTTCTAAATAAATAACTGGGGAAATGTGATTTCCTGGCCTCTGGCTGCTCACAGGTTGCTATGAAGTACAAGGATCTCTTTTCAGCTGCCAGTTTTTGTTTGTCAAATGCTCAGACGCACGAATGTGCAGTGACTCCTGGACTCTCTGCTGGGGTGCAGCC